ACTTGAGACGGCTACCCAACTCAGCCTTAACACGCTCCAACTCTCCAAGGTCGGCAGTGAGCAGAATCATGTCATCGACATACACAAGGATGTAAAAAGGGGAGGGGGAGGTGCGGAGGAAGAGGCTGGCGTCAGAGCGGGAGGTGCGGAACCCAAGTTCAGCAAGGGTGGCGGCAAGTTTAGCATGCCACTCCCTCGGGGCCTGTCGGAGCCCATACACAGGTCGACGCAGCTGCCAGACAGAGTCTGCTGGGAAGGGGAGGTGAAAACCTGCTGGACGCTCCATGTAGATAAGCTCGCGGAGGACGCCTTGCAGGAAGGCGTTAGAAACGTCCATCGAGTGGATCTCCATATTGAGGCGAGCGGCGAGGTCGAGCACGGCGCGAACAGTAGCAGGCTTGGCAGTGGGGGAGAAGGTATCGAAGAAGTCAAAACCATACCGCTGCGTGAACCCCTTGGCGCAGTAACGAGCCTTATAGACGGGCGGCTCCCCTGGTAGCTGCTTGACGCGAAACACCCACTTTCCTTTTACCACGTTCGTAGGGGCGGGAGGGCGAGGCACATCAACAAAAGAGGAGTTGCCGATAAAGGCCTCCAGCTCCTTGATGATGGCGGCGAGCCATAGTGGAGCGTCAGGGCACGCCATCGCCTCCTCGTACGTGTTAGGAACGAAAATGGAGGGAGCAGAGGAGAAGGCGAAGACAGGTGTGCCGGAAAGGTCGAACGTGATGGGTAGAAGCGAGGGGTTATAAAGGTGGAGGTCAAGGAACTCCTCATGGGAGTCCTCAGAGAGGGAGGTGTGGAAGGCGCGGATGACTGCTGGTGCCGCTGCTGGTGCCGCTGCTGCTCCCACTGCTGTTGCCGCTGCTGGTCCCGCTGCTGCTGCCGCTGCTGCCGCTGCTGCTCCTGCTGCTGCTGCTGCTGCTCCTTCTCCCGCTGTTGCTGCCGCTGCTGGTCCCGCTGCTGCTGCCGCTGCTGGTCCCGCTGCTGGGGCCGCTGCTGGGGCCGTTGCTTGTGCCGCTGCTGGTGCCGTTGCTGGAGAGGTGGCTGAGGGGGCTGTTGCATGAGGGGCTTGATGCAAAACAGCATGGAAGAAGTGACGAAGGAGGGGGGAGAGAGGGGGGAGGGTAGAGGTAGAGAGGGTAACGGGAGGTGGTGCACCAAGGATGCTGTCACGTGACCTGGTGTGGGGATACCGGGTGAGTATAGTGCGGGTAGGGGAAGGACGGGTCGGTGGCGAGGGAGAGGAAGGGGGGGGAGGGGGGGCACTAGGAGAGGAGTGAGCGGGGGAGACAGGAGAAGACAAAGGGTCCGGGTCAAAGATGTCACCAGATGAGGGAGGGGTACCGTGGGACTGGGACGGCAGACGGGGGGGGTGGGAGGATGGGGGGAGGAGGGAGTAGTGGGGAAGGGGTGGTGTCAGACCAGACAAGGGGACGGGTGAGAGGGGGGAGTGGGTCAGTAGATGGAGGGGAGGAGTAGTAGGGAGTGGACTCGTCAAAGACCACATCCCTGCTGCGGATTAGACGACTGCATGGGGGGTGGAGGAAAAGGTAGTCGGGGGAGGAGGGATTATGACCAAGGAAGATGCAAGGAAGGGTACGAGGGGCAAGCTTTCCCATGGAACGGGAGCGGTCAGAGGGGTGAATAAGGACATGTGCCTTAGAGCCCCAGACACGAAGTGATGAGGCATCAGGCTTGTCTTTTGTCCAAAGCTCAGTGGGGGTGATGGAGGGGAGAAGGGGGTGAGGGTAAAGGTTAGTAAGGAGGGCGGCATGAAGGAGGGCGTAGCCCCACAGAGAAGGAGGGCAGGAGGCGTGGACAAGGAGACACCGGGCAGTTTTGGTGATCTCTCGAACACGACTCTCAGCCACACCGTTCTGCTGTGGGGAGTGAGGGAGGGTGTAAGTCTGAAGGATGCCACGAGACTGACAATAGGAGGAGACTTGGTTGTTAAGGAACTCACCACCTCCATCAGAGTGAAGGCGGCGAACAGGGCGCCCAAAATGGGTGTTTGCCCGCTCGAGCCAGGCGATGATCGCAGCCGGGGCATCCGCCTTTGTCCGAAGAAGAGAGACGGACGAGTACCGACTGTGATCATCAACAAGCACGAGAAGGTAGCGATGGCCCTGGCGAGTGGGAGAGGGATTAGGGCCCCATAGGTCCATGTGAACAAGATCAAGTGGCTGCGCAGCAGCGGAGGGGGAGCTCCGGTGCGGCTGCTGCTTGAGCTTGCTCTGAACGCAGACGGTGCAGGGGGGTGCAGGGGATTTGGGGAGGGGAGGGAGGGAGGAGGGGAGACCGTGGAGGAGACCGGAGGAGACAGATCAGCGCAGAGTAGCGAAGTTGGGGTGGCCTAGCCTGTGATGGAGGAGGATGGTGGGGTGGGAGAGGGAGTGACAGGAACAGTCAGAGTCTGGAGGGCGGGGGGGGAGGGGTGGGTTAGTGGGAGGGAGGGGAGGGGGGGGGGGAGGAGGGGGGGGGAGGCAACTTGGAAGGTGAGGGGGCGGGGAACCCGAAGGTTGTATAGACGGGAGCGGGGACAATAGGGAATACGGGCGAGAAAACGACCTGTGGAGGTTTGGTATAGGTCACAATGGTTAGCACCACCTGGGATGAGAGTGGTGATCATGGCTTGTTGGAGGGACCTTTGGGAGAGGAGGTTAGTACGAAGGGAGGGAATGTGGAGTCCGGTGACAGTACCTGAGGGAAAGAGAGGACAGGGAAGGGTGGAGGTGTTGTGACAGGGGATGGAAAAGCTGCTATCAGCGCCGAGGAGGGAGGTTGGTGTGGGGAGAGGGCGCAGTGTACCAGCGTCACGAAGGACAGTGTCAGTGGCTCCACTGTCCAGAACGAAGTCAATGGTGGAGGAAGGTGAGGCAGAGTACTGGAACGACGTTTCATTAGCAGAAGAAGGGTACATGGGAGATGCAACAGATTCAGGTTGACCTAATAAACCAACAAAACCAGAGGAAGGGAAAGCGGTCGCACTGCCACCTGCAGACGGCGCCGGGGATGCACCCGAGAGATGGGCTGCAGAGGCAGCACTCCCAGCAGTCCAGGTAGGAAAGGGCTGCTGCTGGGATACCGGAGGAGGAGGGAGGAGGGGCAGTTGCGGCTGGAGGTCTAGCTGCTGCTGGAGATGCTGGAGCTGCCGCTGGAGCTGAGATAGGAGAAGCTGCTGCCCATACTGCTGTGACTCATGCTGCTGATTCCCAAGCTGCTGCTGCTGTTGCTGCTGCTGGTGCTGCTGCTGGGGAGGGGCGAGGGCCTGGTGGGCGTGGGTGGAGGAGGAAGGTTCATAGAGGGGAGAGGAACGGACCTCAAGGGGAGTGGGGCGAGGGTTGAGGGCGGACCAGCGAGGAGGGGTGCCGGTGTTGCCACGGGCAAACCACTCATCACTGAGTGCCTTGAAGCACGTCTCAGTGGCATGGGTGGTTTGGCCGCAGCGCTGTCCCTGAGTGGGACCGTAGCGAGGCAGGTACTGACAGGGAGGAAAGGCAGCTGCCGCACCACGACCTGTACCACTGCTACCAGCACCACCGCGACCTGCTGATCCCCCTCGTCCACCCCCACGCCCACCACCACGCCCACCCCCACGCCCACCGCCACGGCCAGCCCGGCTGCTGCGCGACTGGGCTGCTGCGGCTGTGGAGGAAGAGTGGCGAAGGATCTCAGCTTCGGTGGTGATAATCCACTGAGCGACTTCAGCAGGGGTGTGGTGCTTGGAGATAAGCTGCATGTACGCAAGCTTGTGAGCGTCGAAGGCAGGTGTCAGGCCCTCAAGAAGGTGGCAGCAAATGACAGTATCTGGGTACACCACATCAAGTGCTGCAAGGCGTCGAGCGAGATCTAGGACGCGGCGAGTGAAGGCAGCTGCGCCGGAGGTTGAATCCATAGAGAGAGTTCCGAATTCTTTGATAAGAGCGTAGAGGGTGGCGACGTCTTGACGGTCGAAAAGGTCGACGAGTAGTCGCCACAGGTGGGAGGAGGAGGTGGGTGAGAGCTCGCGTTTGAGGGAGGAGGGAATGGTGGCGAGAAGAATTGCAAGCGCGCGTCGGTCAGCAACTCGCCAGGCAGTGATTTTGGTGGTGTAGTCGGCAAGTCGTGCAGCGTAGGTGTTGAGGTCCTCCTGGTACTTGTTGTGGAGGGCAGCAGCAGCATCATATGTGCGCTTGTCCTCTTCGTAACGCAGTTGCTGGCGTAGGTGCTCTTGGAGAGCGGTGCGGTATGTGCGAATGGCGGTTTCCGAGCTCTGTGGGTCGTTTATATTCGGCGCGAAGGTGGGAGGGTCACCCGGGGGGATAGGCTCGGCCCCAGGAGTGGCGGGGGCAGGCCCAGTAGGAGCGACGGGGGCGACGGGCTGAAGACCGGTGTCTTCCTGGAACACAATTGATCGAAGGTTGTAGCCGCTGACAACGACAGAGGAGAGAAGCACCTCGACCGAGTGAGCGTAAGAGTGCCAATTAGCAGCAGAGTTGTCGGCAAGTAGCTCAAGTGCGTCAACTGTGGCGAGATCGACAGAGGAGTCGGATGATGATGCCATAGGGACGAGGTCGAGGAGAGGGAGGAGGAGGAGGCGGGTAATGTGCTGGTCCCGCTGCCGCTGCTGGTCCCGCTGCCGCTGCTGCTGCCGCTGCTGGTCCCGCTGCTGCTGCCGCTGCTGGTCCCGCTGCTGGTCCCGCTGCTGCTGCCGCTGCTGGTCCCGCTGCTGCTGCCGCTGCTGGTCCCGCTGCTGCTGCCGCTGCTGGTCCCGCTGCTGCTGCCGCTGCTGGTCCCGCTGCTGCTGCCGCTGCTGCTGCCGCTGCTGGTCCCGCTGCTGCTGCCGCTGCTGGTGCTGCTGCTGGTGCTGCTGCTGCCGCTGCTGGTCCCGCTGCTGCTGCCGCTGCTGGTGCTGGTGCTGGGTAGAATAGGAGGAGGACGAACGGGGGAGAGGGGGGGGAGGAGAGGGGGAGGAGAGGGGGAGGAGAGGGGGAGGGAGGGGGGCGGGGGGGCGCGGGATGGGTGGAGGGCGGGAGGACGACGACGACAAACAGGCTTGCGGCGAACGCGTTGGGCGAGGAGGTGCGATGCGGAGGCGCTGGACGAAGAGGCTTGCTGCGGACGCGCGCGACAGGCAGAGCCGCCGCGGATGCACGCGACAAGGGAGCCCGTGCGGTGAGCAGATCGCGACCGTCGACGAGCAGATCGCGTCCGTCGGCGAGCAGATTGCGGCCGTCGGCGAGCAGATCGCGACCGTCGGCGAGCAGATCGCGACCGTCGGCCAGCAGATCACGGCCGTCGAGCAGATCGCGGCCGTCAACGAGCAGATCGACGCCGTCGGCGAGCAGATCAGGGACGTCGACGAGTGGATCGCGGCCGTCAGCGAGCAAACCGCGGCCGCCGAGCAGGTCGCGGCCGTCGGCGAGCAGATCTGAGCCGTCGACGAGTAGATCTGGGCCGTCGACGAGTAGATCGCGGCCGTCGAGCAGATCGCGGCCGTTGACGAGGAAATTGTGGCCGTTGACGAGGAAATCGCGGCCGTCGCAAAGGTAGGTCGTGGAGAGGGCAAATACGGTCCGCGGGAGGGCGGATCTGGTCCGCAGGAGGGCGGATCTGGTCCGCAGGAGGGCGGATCTGGTCCGCGGGAGGGCGGATCTGGTCCGCAGGAGGGCGGATCTGGTCCGCAGGAGGGCGGATCTGGTCCGCAGGAGGGCGGATCTGGTCCGCAGGAGGGCGGATCTGGTCCGCAGGAGGGCGGATCTGGTCCGCAGGAGGGCGGATCTGGTCCGCGGGAGGGCGGATCTGGTCCGCGGGAGGGCGGATCTGGTCCGCGGGAGGGCGGATCTGGTCCGCAGGAGGGCGGATCTGGTCTGCGGGAAGGCGGATCTGGTCCGCAGGAGGACGGATCTGGTCCGCGGGAGGGAGGATAGCGCCTAGGACGTGAAGCGGGAGGTAGCGCTTAAGGAAACATAGCGAGGGAGGCCATTATTGGCCGGGTAGGAAGAGAGGTACATGTTAGGACGGTCCTAAGGATCTTGGTAGGGCGTGAGCCATAAGCTCTGAATACCATGTGAGAAAGAAGAATTGATACACTGAATAATGAGCCAAAAGGCTCTTTAGTACAAGCAATGAGCAAGAGAGAGATGAGAGGGAAGCTTACCCTATTGGCCAATAAGTTGGCCAATGGGTGAGTTTGCTTGTGGCCCAAGCAACCACAAAATGTGTGTTGGTTGGGATTGGTTGAGGTAAGGACCAATCCTCACCAACCACAAAATGTGGCTGGAGGGTATACTAACCAACCCCCCAATTTATAAGACTGCTACACATCTAAGTCTAGCCTATGCATGTTGTATAAAATATGGAGTTACAACAATTTTTGAGTCGACTCAAAAGTCACCTCCTTACCCCCTCATTGCACGTTGTGACTTTTGAGTCGACTCAAAAGTCACCTCCTTACCCCCTCATTGCACGTTGTGACTTTTGAGTCGACTCAAAAGTCACCTCCTTACCCCCTCATTGCACGTTCCCTTCCCCATCATTTCCCACCAGGCGGGTCTCCAGAGCCCTCTGCTCTCGCATTTCCCTTCGCCCTATCTGCCCCCGCCATCCCTCGGGTCCGCCTACCTGCTCTTCTTGACTCCCTCTCCAACCGCCTTTCCTGTCGCCAACTGAATCTCCCACGCTCCCTCACTCTTCCTGCTCTGGTGAGTCGTTCCTTCATCCCTGCATGCATACCTCACCCCACCCTTCCCACCTTGTCCAACCACTCCTCACCCCTCACTCCTCGGGTGCGCCTGCCTGCTCTCCTCAACTCCCTTTCCTGTCTTCAAATCAACCTCCCTCGCTCCCTCCCGCTCCTGATTTTGCATACACCCCCTCCTCCTCCCGTCCCCACTTTCCCCCTCCACCCCGGCCCTCACCTTTCCCCCGAGCCTCCCTTCTCTCCTTTCCCTCCTCCGTCACTCTCCCTCCATCACTCTCCCCTCCCTCCCTTCTATCGCTCGACTCTCTCTCCCCATCCACCCCCTCTCTCCCTCCTAGCCTTCACTCTTCAATTGCCTGCCAAACAAATTACACGTAAGATGAGACGAGTTGTAAGGTGCCTCAAAACAAACTTGTCTCATTTCACACTCGGCCGTCGTCTGCTCGACAACTTTCAAGTTGGCAGCGCTTGCTATTGGGTTGCCAGCCATGCAGTCGGACGAAGTTGCTCGCCGAGTAGGACGAGCGAGACAGGAGTTTGAAGAGCAAGCCTCCAAACGGAATGGCAGCAGTCACGGCTGACTTTCACGCCTCAAAACAAGAGTAGCGTTGACTTTGCACTCCCAAGCGACGCTGCCTTACATCTTGATTTCAACATTGACATCAACAAGTCCACTTCCTCACCTCATTTCGCTAGGCTGCTGCCACTTGCTCAGCATTCTCCGTGTTACTCCTCGGTGTCCAGTTCGTTTGGCTACGAAACGTGCATCTTCTGAGTTAGGAAAGGAGGGTTTTCACACATGTTCGCTGCATGTTGGATTGACAATTTTACTCCATAACAATTTTCGAGTTACGAGGCTTAACATTTGACAACTTAGTGGGATCACTATCCTGCTGCTTCCCTCACCGCGCCCGTCGAACGTCCCCTCGCCATCTGTAGACGTTAACGTCACCATCGTTGTCGTCGTCGTCGCCGTCGCTGTCGCATAGTCGTCGTGTAGCCGTCGCCTGACCCCGTCACCCGTCTTGCCACCCGATCCGCGTCCATTCCCGATCAGATGTTTCTCGGGCTGCGTAAAAGGAGGGATCGTGAGGGGAGGGTGACGCGACGGCGACGGTTGTACAAGAGAGAGGGAATGGAATAGACAGTCTTCTCATGTTTCGCTCACGCTGAAAGACGTTTCTGCCCCTCCACGATCTACCGCTACATTTGACGGGCGCGGTGAGGGAAACAGCGCGACGCTGGGGTCGTTCCATATCGCAAACTCTAAAAACCAAAAAACCCAATTCTTCGCGATTAATGCTAGATAGTTCTGGAGCATGGATGATCCTACTCAGTTGTCAAATGTTCAGCCTCGTAACTCGAGAAGTGTTAGGGAGTAAAGATGTCGATTGGACATGTAGCGAGCATGCGCGAGAATACTCCTTCCCTAATTCAGAAGATGTACGTTTCGTAGCCAAACGAATTGATCACTAAGGAATAATATGGAGCATGATGAGCAAGCGGAAGCAGCCTAACGGAACGGGGTGAGGAAATAGACTTGTTGAAGTCAATGTTGAAATCAAGTTGTAAGGCAGCGTTGCTTGGGAGTGCAAAGTCAACGTTACTCTTGCTTTAAACGTGAAGGCTAGACGTGAATGCTGCCATTCCATTTGGAGGCTCGCTCTTCAAACACCTATCTCGCTCGTCGTGCTCGGTGAGCAACTTCGTCCACTGCATGGCTTGCAACCCAATATCAACCTCGGCCAACTTAAATGGTTTCAAGCCAGGCCGCCACCACTAATTCGTCTTTCTCTCGGACACCACTCCTTCCTTGCTCCTGCTCTGCTTTTCCTTCCCCCTCCCCTCTCTCCTCCTTTCCTCCCCTCTCCCCTCCCCCCATCAGTCACTTGCCCATCGCCTGGCGGACGCCTTTCAAGGAGGGGCGCTGCTGCTCTGCCACAACCTGTTGCTCGCCTCCACCCTCTCCCCGGTAACCTCCCATCCCCCGTCAAATTCCAAGCCACAAACCCCAATCCCCAAACCCCAATCCCCAAACCCCAAACCCCAAACTCCAACCCCCAAACCCCAAGCCTCAACCCCCAAACCCCAAACCCCAACCCCCAAACCCCAAGCCCCAAACCCCAAACCCCAACCCCCAAACCCCAACCCCCAAACCCCAAACCCCAACCCCCCAACCCCAAGCCCCAAACCTTGTGCTGCTGCTCTGCCACAGCCTGCTGCTCGCCTCTACCCTCTCCCCGTAACCTCGTATGTCCCTGCAGCCCTTCTGCCCTTCTCTTAGCGAGATGACTTTTTTGAGTCGACTCAAAGTGCAGCCCTGCTTCCCTTCTCTTAGCAAGATGACGTTAGAGTCGACTCAAAAGTGCAGCCCTGCTGCCCTGCTCTTAGCGAGATGACTTTTAAGTCGACTCAAAAGTGCAGCCCTGCTTACCTTCTCTTAACTGCCTCTTTCTTAGTTTGCACAGTCCCCCGCTGCTTCTCTTTCTGCTTTCCCTGCTCTTTCTCAATTCCTCTGATCTTCAAAGTTTCTCTTTTTTGTGTCTCGCTTTCCGCTTCCCCTCACCTCTCCCCCTCCAACCCCTCTCCTTCCCCTCTCTCCCCTCTCAACCGTCTGCTTCCACCCTCCATCAGGCCGATACAGCAGCACTACACTCCTACGCATGCCTGCGCCTTCTCCCCTCCTCCCTCTCCCCATCCTCCTCCTCCTCTTCCATCCTTCGCTCTCTCTCCCCCTTCCACTCCCCTTTCACCTCCTCCTCCTCCGCCTCCTCCTCCCCCTCCTCTCACCGCCCCTCCTCCCCCTCCCCCCGTCACACCTCCCCCTCCTTCCTCAGCCCCTCACTCACTCCCTCACTCACTCCCTCACTCACTCCTACCCTCCCTCGCTCCTCCTCCACCCCCTCACTCGCCCATCTCTCCCCCTTTGCCCACACTCCCCCTCTCTCCCCCTCTGCTTGCCCCAACCCCAACCATCCATTCCCCCCTTCCCCTTCCACTTCCAACCCCCCCACCCACTCCTCCCCGTTCCCCCTCCCCTACTCCTCCCCTCCCCTCCCCCTTCGCCCGTCATCCTGGGCCAAATCCACGTCAGGCCACTCCCTTTCCACGTCAGCATGGGGATTAGATCCTCAAAGCAACACCCCTCTCCCCCCTCTAGTATACCTAAGGTCTTTGGGGGTAGAGGTGGGGGGAGGAGGGGAGGGTGGAGGGGTGGGGGGAAGAGGTGCGGGGGGGGGGGAACGGGGAGAGAAAGGGACGAAGGAAAAGGGTGGTGGAAAAGGGGAGGGTGGAGGGGAAGGGCGAGGGGGAGAGGGAGAGGGAATGGGAGCAGGAGTGATGGGAGTGCTGCGGGTGTTTTTTGTCAAAGACCTGACAGCACTTGTGGTAGAACCATTACCAGCAGCACCAAGGGAGGGGCAAAGTAGGAACGATGAAGCAGGTCAAACAGGCCTTCACCCTGAGGTGAGTTGAGTGTATTGCCTTGTCTGACTCGTTATATAAGGTGACTGGAGCACACACAGGCGAGATGGGATCTCTTTTAGCACAAACGTGCATTTTTTTTGTTATTGGATGAACGGGACTGCCGCTACCTCTGGACTGACCCTTCGCCTCCAGTGCCCTTCCATGCCTCTTCATGCTTATTCCTCTTCTCCCCCCATCCCATCCCCATCATCAGCTGCTGATGGAGATGGAAACACTCTGATTCCCTCTGCATCCCCCCCATCACTTTCCCCAAAAGCTTTTGAGGGAGATGGAAGCACTGGAAGCGTCGCTTCAGCGGCACCACATCACCCCTCAAGCCGCCCACATTCAGGGCTGCCGCTACCTCTGCACTGACCCCTTGATGAGCTCCTTTTCTGCCTCCCCGCCCTGCAAAGTCACCACCCTCGCCAAGGTGGGTCCCTTGGTGCCTCTGATTGTTTTGCTCCCCTTGCCAAGTCATTACCCTTGCCAAGGGCGGTTGTTACCCTATTGAAGGTTCATCTCCCCACTCCGTTTTCCCACTCCCCCCTCACTCGCTACCTTTGCTCTGACCCGCTGCTGCACTCCTTTGCCTTCCCGCCCTGCAAAGTCACCGTTCCTCTTTTGACGCGCCTCAAAAGGCCAAGGTCGGTCCCAAGTGTCTCTTAGTACCCCCCTCTTTGAAAAGTCACCACGCCCACCCCCCTCACTCGATGCGATGGGCTATGGATGTTGACGGTAAATGACCCTGCCCTCGCTTCTGCGAAGCCGACTACGCGGTCGGGTGCGTGGAGGGTGCAGCCGACTGCCCGCAGAGGTCGACGCCGACTTGGGCGAGCAGGTCGACGAAGTTGGTCGACCTGCGCGGAACCTTTGCAAAGCAGCCGAGAAAGGAGACTGGCGGCCGAGTTCAACCTGGGTGGTTGACGAAGAAGTTCGTCAACCTGTGGGATGCCGACGTGGGAAAGTCGGCGGACGGTGTCTTCTAGGGCAGCCGACGAGCGGGTATAGCAGTTGGCGGGCTCCTGCCGCCCGCTAGGGCGACGTCGACTTTGGAATCACCTGGTCGACGGAAGTGGTGGTCGAGCAGGCTCTGCTCGGCGGGACCTGGTCGATGAGCCTGTCGAGAGGTGTTGTTGGTCGACCAAAGCTGCTCGGCTGCGAAACCTGGCAGGAGCATGAGTTTCGGTTTTGCAAGCTTTGGCGAAGTCGACGTGCAGACTGGTACCCCGAGGTCGACGTGGAGCATCTGGCGCGATCGTCGGCATGTGGCCGACTCGGCATCTACGCGATGGGCGGGACGAGGCAGAACGTGCTCGACCGCCTACAAGCACCTGCGAAGCAGGAGTGCGCGTGCGCTATTATCAGCAGCGGTTGCAACTCTAACTAGCCTCTCTTTTGCAACGTTGGCAAGCCGCGTAGATGCAGCGCTGACAGGTTGTCGACTTGCGGAGTTGGCAAGCCGCCTCCCAGCTGCGTTGGTAGACTGTCGACTTGCTCTGCTGACAGGTCGCCTCGTTGCTGCGCTGGAGATCGACCTGCTAGGTCGCTAGGCTGCTAGGTCCCAGATGTAGTCACTTTGTCATTGCAATTTCTATCATTCTGTATTCCCAACTTCGCTACTGAATCTTCTGTCAATTCTTGGTGTGAACACACAAGTGCTAGAGAACGCTAGTGTAAGCTACGATTACTCGTACCACTCGTGCTTAAACTGTAGTCCAGCTCCCGTTGTAGAGTGTCTCTCCGCAGTGGATTCATCAATGCGCTTTACCTCTCTACTCTTCTCTGCCACTTCCTCTCCCTCCCTCAGGATTCCCTTGCAGTCCTGAACCAGATGCGACACGAGGCAGACAGGCAGCAGCAGAGGAGGGAGATGCTGAGGGTGCAGGGGGGAGGGAGGAAGAAAAGTGATGCACTTACAGGGGGTGCGGGAAGAGGAGAGAAAGGTATGGATGGAGTTTAATTTGAGGGGTTTCAAATTAAGGAGGGCAGGGGAGGGGCAGGGGGGGGGCAGGGGAGGGCAGGGGGGGGGCAGGGGAGGGCGGGGGGGGGGCAGGGGGGGGGCAGGGGGGGGGCAGGGGGGGGGCAGGGGGGGGGCAGGGGGGGGGGCAGGGGGGGGGCAGGGGGGGGGGCAGGGGGGGGGCAGGGGGGGGGGGGGGGCAGGGGGGGGGCAGGGGAGGGGAGAAAAAACAACATCCAGCGAGGAGACAAGGGGTGATTGCCTACTCTGCTTCTGCTCTTCCCTCTTCTGACTCCGCTGCTGCTCTTCCCTCCTCTGACTCCGCTTCTGTGCCTGGTGCAGTTTCGAAGGAACATGATCCAACCAGCAGAGATGGGGAGAGAGCAGGGGGTGGAAAGGGGGGAACTGGAGGGGGACAGGTGGAGGGAGCAGCAGATGGGGCAGACGAGGAGGAGCAGAAGGCGGGTGTTGATGGGGAGAGGAAAGGGTTAAATGCGGTTGAGGGAAGAGAGGGTGGTGAGGGAGAGGGAGGAGTAGGAGAGTGGGAGGGAGCAGAGGAGAGAGGTGGAGGAGATGAGGTGAACAACTGGCTTGGGGAGGTCACTGAGGAGGAGAGTGAGGAGGAGAGTGAGGAGGTGGCATCGAAGGTGGGGAGAAACGCGTGGGTGGTGGAGAGGAGGTGCGGAGGGCGGCAGCTGGTGGTGGCAGTGGAGAGAGGGTGTGATTCCCTGCTGGGAGCAGAAGAGCTTGTGGACAGACTGAATGCACAGTGAGTGGATTCTGTGACTTGTGCTTGTGTGCACCATCTGTGAGTGCAGAGAATGCGGAGTGAGAGGATAGAGAGAATGCGGAGTGAGAGGGTAGCGAGAATGCGGAGTGAGAGGATAGAGAGGATGAGGAGTGAGAGGATAGAGAGAATGCGGAGTGAGAGGATAGAGAGAATGCGGAGTGAGAGGATAGAGAGAATGCGTAGTGAGAGGATAGAGAGAATGCGGAGTGTGAGGATAGAGAGAATGCGGAGTGAGAGGATAGAGAGAATGCGGAGTGAGAGGATCGAGGGAATGCGGAGTGAGAGGATAGAGAGAATGCGGAGTGAGAGGATAGAGAGAATGTTTCTTACCGTTTTCTGCGTGTATGTTTCGTTTGAAAGACATTTCCATCTTCTCCGCTGCCCCAATTGCTCGTTTCAGGCACTTCGGGGGGGTATTCCCATCTCACTAAGGAGTTGTACTGCACTGTGCTATGCATATGGTACAGTACACTGCTGCATTTGTCAATAGAAGTGGAATTTGCTAATAATCAAGGTTCTTACAACCTTTTGCTGTATTCCCCTGTTGCAGCGTGGCAGGGCCTGTGCTAGGATTTGGGGCATCCCGAGGCCTCAGGGGAACTCGTCCGAATCTTAAAAAATGCCCCGATTTGTCAAAATCGAAAGTGTTGGTTTCATTGATGCAGGTTGGGGTACATATAACAAACCCTAACATTTGTACCCCCTAAGACAAACCTCACTACATGCTACAACATTTGACACACCCCCATAGCCTAAGTGAGGGGTGTCAAGCAAAACCAAAAGTGTACGGTCACAAGACCAGTCTTAAAGAAACAAAGCTCAGGGTGGATCACAACATCACCACACTCTGAGCACAAGCAAAGGCCACAAGGCCAGTCCAAGAGTTCACAGAGGTATATAGCAAGAGTAAAAGCTAGGCAAACAGTAAACTCAAGCCTATGCAAGACGAGAACCAGTATCAACAAGGCCTAACTGCACACAGCACCTCTGGTGGTCACAAGGCGGAAGCGCCTTGGTGAAGACGTCTGCAGTGTTGGCCTCGGACTCCACAAACTCGAAGCGAGCCTGTCCACGTCTTGTCAGAATAGCTAGGCAGGAATGATTGGACTACCGTAGGTCAAAGTTGGGTACAAATATGAAACCCTAAAGGGGCTATACCCCATATTGGCTACCCCACTACAGCCTACACATATATATTACATATATAATTTGACACACCCCCATAGGCAAAGTGGGGGAGAGCAAGGGGTCACAAGACCAGTCAAGCAAAGCAAAGCAAGCTCAGGGTGGATCACAAAGTCACCACACACACTGAGCACAAGCAAAGGGCCACAAGGCCAGTCCACATGCAGAGGTATATATGCAACAGGAACAGCACAGTGATCTGTCAAACAATATGTTTAATATATACCCTGCGTGCTGTAGGTACTGTAGTTATTATTATTAAGAGTTGGTGGTGCACCTTCTTTGTTGCTTTGCTATATGTACCTTGTGTGCTATAGTGAAACCCCTCTTTCCTTGCCTAAAATCTCTCTACACTTTCTCCTCTTCACCCTAGCATGGCTCCTCACCTCTAGCTACTATCTTGACATGATCACCACCTAGCAAGAGCAAGCATGCAGGTATATGTATATAGATCACAGTACAAGCAAAGCCTACAGCAAGTGTGGAAACGTAGGTACAAGGCCTAACAAGGTACAGAAGCGCTGATGATCACAAGACGGAAGTGCCTTGGTGAATATATCAGCAGTGTTGGCCCGAGTGGCCACGTGAGCAAGACGAAGCTGACCTCGCTGCTGCAACTCTCGAGCCAGGAAGTAACGCAGAGCGATGTGCTTCGTTCTGTGCTCCAGTCTGTGCTCCTAACACAAGGCAATGGCCGTCTTGTTGTCAACGTACAGAACTGGAGGAGAACGAGGCCGCTCTCCCAAGTCAGTCAGCAGGTAGGTGAGCCAGCGTAACTCTTGTGCAGCCATGGCTGTGGCGTAGATCTCAGCCTCACAACTGGAGCTGAGAACAGAAGACGAGCGTGTAGACCGCCAAGAAACAGAGCCAGAGCCAAGACTGAAAGTGTAACCCTATGACGACCGCTGCGTAGCCTGGTCGTCAACCCAAGACGCGTCAGAGTGTCCAGTGAGGACAACGTCACCCCGTCCTCCAAGCACGAGCCCCATGCCTGATGTACTGCACAGGTAGCGCAGTACCCTCTTCGCAGCTTCCCAGTGCACCTTTCGGTGCCTACCAGGAGCCACGTAGCGAGCCAGAAGGCCAAGAGGGTACGCAAGGTCAGGTCGCGTGCAGGTCATCAGGTACATGAGGCAGCCCACAAGCTCTGGGTAAGGACCACTCGGCTCTACGGACTCGTCCGAAGGTGGAGCTGAGAGCGAGTGACCTATAGCCAGAGGAGTGGACTGTGGGGAGGACCAGGTGAAGCCGAAGCGCTGAAGGACCTGCTGCACCATGTGTGACTGAGTCAGTGTGATGGTGCGGCGTGCTCTGTCCCGGGTGATCTGCAAGCCAAGGTAGCTGCGCAGCTCACCCAGGTATGTGCACGTGTGTCTCTTCTGCAGCTCCAACTTCACCAGGGCGAGAGCCTCTGTGTCAGCAGTGGCAAAGACCAAGTCGTCGACGTACACGAGGATGTAGAACGGCGGCAGCGAAGTGTCGGTGCGCAGAAACAGCGACGGGTCAGCAGTGGAAGGAGCAAACCCAAGAGCCGCAAGTGTCGTCCTCAGTGTGTCGTGCCACTCACGAGGCGCCTGGCGGAGACCGTAGACTGGCTGCCGGAGGCTCCACTGGGTACCAGGAGAGAACGACCCAGTGAAGCCAGGTGGGCGGCGCAGCCAGATATCCTCGTGCAGGCTGCCCTGTAAGAAGGCTGTGCTAAAGTCAAGTGAGTGAAGCTCGTAGTCACGCTGAGCGGCAACGTGCAGCAGCACCCGAAGAGTGGTCATCTTCGGGGTGGGGGAGAAGGTCTGGAAGAAGTCAACTCCCTCTCGCTGACTGAAGCCTCGAGCAACGTAACGAGCCTTGAAGACAGACGGAGAACCCGGCGGCCGCTTCACCCTGAAAATCCACATGCCATCGACGATGTTCGCCCTAGGAGGGGGAACCTCGTCGACGTAAGTGCTTGTGGACTTCCAGGATGCCATCTCTGCGTCCATGGCTGCCTGCCACTGAGAGGAGTACTCACCCGCGATCGCCTCAGTGTAAGAGTCAGAATGTGATATTTGTCTAGCTTGCAGTGGGGTACTCTATAGCGAGTATAGCCCAAATTAGGGTTTCCTATATGTACTCAACTGCCTGCTAGTGAAAACCCCTTTTGCCTGTTCTAGCTTCCTGCTGCTTGTTTTCACATGCTATGAGAGCAGGTCGACCCTCCTGGGTCGATCCTGTGGGTGGTCCCGCCCGATGCTTCCGCTGCTGTTCTGCCTGTCGCGCGCCCGTGGCGCGCGACGTTTTCTGCCTGCTGCGCGCCCGCTGCACGCGGCATTTTTACTTACCGCCGCGCGCTCGGGGCTCGCGGCGGTTTTCTGCTCGCCACGCGCTCCGGGCGCGTGTCGGTTTCCTGCCCGCTGCGCGCCCCGGGCGCGCGCGGCGGTTTCGTCGCTCGTCGTGGCGCCCCGGGGGCCCGCGCGCTGTCCCCTCCCGTCGCCCGTTGCGGCGCCCTGGGGGCCCGCGCGTCGCCCCCTCCCGTCGCCCGTCGCGGCGCCCTGGGGGCCCGCGCGTCGCCCCCTCCCGTCGCCCAACGCGGCGCCCTGGGGGCCCGCGCGTCGCCCCCTCCCGTCGCCCCGTCGCGGCGCCCTGGGGGCCCGCGCGTCGCCCTGCTCGTCGTGGCGCCCTCAGGAACCCGGGCGCCCCGCCCCTCTTCCGCTTGCGCGCCATCCCCCGAGCTACTGCCTGCGCACAGCCCCCCCCCCCCCCCCACCCCGCTGCTGCCTGTGTTAGGGTTTGGGGGTGGCGGGTGTGGGGGTGGCGAGTATGGGGGTGACGGGTGTGTGCGCCGTCCCCTGCTCCTCCTCCTCCGTCTCCCACTGCTGCAGCTGCCGCTGAGGGGGGTGGATGTGTGGGAGCCGTCGGAGTGGTACTAGGGGGGTGGCGTGTGAGCAGTGCTAGGGGTACAAAAGGGGGTGTGTGAAAGGGGTGTGGGACAGTTGGGGGAGGTTGAGTGGAGGCAGCCGTCTTGTCGTCCGCAGCGCCTGTAGTCCGGAAAAGGCCCGTGGGTCTGGTAGCCCAGCGAGCCTGCTGCGCCAGTCGCCCGTGGGTCAGTTGCTCCTGCCGCTCGTCTTAGCCGCGGAGCCAGGTACTCCTGTAGTCCGGGGCCCTTGCCACCGGTAGCCACCGTGCGCGCCGCTCCTGTTGCCCGTGTGTCTGCGGCTTCACCCGTCGCCTCCTATCCCCACTACTCTCACAGTCCCTCCTCCTCCTCACTTGCCCTCTGTGACTGCCTCTAGTTTTGCTTGTACTTGTGAACCTGCTCTATGACTGCTTGCTGTGCTGATTATACCCCACTTTGACTATGGGGGTGTGTCAGAATGTGATATTTGTCTAGCTTGCAGTGGGGTACTCTATAGCGAGTATAGCCCAAATTAGGGTTTCCTATATGTACTCAACTGCCTGCTAGTGAAAACCCCTTTTGCCTGTTCTAGCTTCCTGCTGCTTGTTTTAACACGCCTCAGCGTAAGAGCGCGGGGTCGGGATGTCTACAGCATCCGGGTCTCCCTCAGGGGCAAGTAGCATGGCCACGAGATGAGGCGCAGCGGCTGCAAGACACTCAAGGTCCTCGTGCCTGTCCTCAAGGACGTCCGTGCCAAGAGCACACTCACCCCCGACGGACGGAGGACAGACAGACTCAGACTCAGCAACAAGGCTAGCAGCGTAGTCTAGACGACAGGCAGCAGCAAAGTCAACAAGCTCAGCGACTAAGGCAGACGCAGCAGCAGACTCAAACGACGGGTCAGTGACAACAGTGGCTAGCAGACGCGTGACAGTAGGGTGCTCAGCACGAAACCGGTCAGACTCAGGGTCCGGAACGTCAGGCAAAGAAGACGCAGGAGGAGACGGCAGGGGAACACGCTGTGGAACAGAGGAAGGACGAAGTGCCATAATGTGCGTGCCAGGGACAGGAGGAGGACGCTCACGACTAACACGACCAGTGCGACCAGTGCGACCAGTGCGAACAGGCGAGACAGGACGGGACGCAGGCTCGCGACGCTCAGTAAGACCTCCTGGCTGCTCAGTGTAAGGAGAGGGAGCAGGCAGGGGGGAGCCTGGCTGTAACGGTAGGCCAGTGGAAGACGGCAGGGTAAGAACCTGGCGAAGCACTGTGTCAGGAGGCGGCAGAGACGACGGTGACGGCGGAGAGAAGAACAGTCGCTGCGCAGCAGTGCCACCAGCACCAGTAGCTCCAGTGCCTCCAGCAGCTCCAGAA